AGTCTGTTGCCCCCCCCCCCCCCCCCCTCTGACTGGTGGAACATCACTTGGTGTCCTCATGTCTAATGCAAGTCGTTAGGTCTATATAAGACGTGATGATGTCAGCAATCCTTAGACCACAAGAGCCCAGGGAAGAGGCTGTGGGGACTAATCTAGAAGCGAGCCGGTCCCCTACACAAAACGTGATGACATCAGCGGTCTTTAGACCACCAGCTAGTGGAATGTCCCTTGGTGTCCTCATGTCTAATGCAGGCCAATGGGCCTATATAAGACATGATGATGTCAGCAGTCCTTAGACCACAAGAGCCTGGGGGACAAGAGGCTGTGGGGATCAATCTAGAAGTGAGACTGTCCCCTACAGAAAATGTGATGACATCAGCGGTCCTTAGACCACCAGCTGATGGAATGTCCCTTGGTGTCTTCATGTCTAATGCAGGTCAATGGACCTACATAAGACGTGATGATGTCAACAGTCCTTAGATCACCGAAGCCCGGGGAAGAAGAGGCTGTGGGGGCCAAATCTAGAAGCTAGAACAGAGCCGGTCCCCTACACAAGACGTGATGACATCAGCTGTCCTTAGACCACCAGCTGGTGGACTGTCCCTTGGTGTCCTCACGTCTAATGCAAGTCAGCGGACCTACATAAGACATGATGTCAACAGTCCTTAGACCACAAGAGCCTGGGCAGGGAGAAGAGGCTGTGGGGACCAATCTAGAAGCTAAAAGAGAGCCGGTCCCCTACACAAGACGTGATGACATCAGCGGCCTTGGCTTCTTCCTACAAATCACCACTTTAAATAGCAAGTATCTGTTTGGCCATGTCCACATCATGAAGCCCCTCATCCTTGATTTTTCCCATCCTCAGCTGCATACAACCTAAAGACCATCCGAGCACTGCTTTCCGTACCCAACCCAGTACTGTGCTTTCATCTTCTTTAATGCAGGGCTGGACAAGTCCCAGGAGCCAAGCAGCCGATGTTTCTGGCACACCCAGTTCGTGTTTACGTTTTGTATGTGCATGTGCATGGGGGGCGGGGGGGATTTACATAAAAAATAAATACAAATAATTTTTAGTTTTTTTTTTATATGCGTCTATAATTTTTAGGTTTTTACATATAACTTTATTGCTATCACATAGGGAGCTAACAAGCCCACAATGTAATAGCACAGACACAGTGACAGGTCCTCTTTATGAAGACATCAGGGGTCTATTAGACCCCTATTGTCACCTAGGGACCCCAAAGCACAGATCTGCTTCACCAGCTTCTTGTCTGGCTATAGCAGCCGAAGAAATGGCAGAGTGAAACCGGAAGTGATGTAATACACATCACTTCCAGGTTCAGTGATTGGGGAGGGGGATAGATCAGCCAGTAAAAGTGATCTGATCTCCCTCAAATCCAGCCACAGAGACCCACCAAGCCAGTCCAGGGGCAGTGGCGGAGGGGGGCAACACACTCCCCAGCACAGTGCAAGTGATCGGGCAGCTCTATAGCCACCCGAACGCTTGTATGGAACAGATTTCGTTAGCTGTAAACAATATGTACGGTTTCAAAAGCGGGCGGCAAGAAAGGACATTTAAAACCACCCACCCACTGTCAAGAGTGTGTTCCCTGGCCATTTAATTACAATCGGCAAGTGGTTAATGAGCTCATTCAATAAGCTGTGCAGCATGCAAAATGCATTCACTTATAGCAACTAATCAGAATTAGCACCACTGGCACCTGACGTGAACAAGGCGAGTTGTAATGGATTGCTGGGTGTGCCAGCTTTATACCGGCGCAAGCCCACAAATCCCGATAGAAGTTGACTTCACCATAAAAGCCAATTGAGGTCTTCGGGTAAAAGTGTAACTCTAGAGCCTTGTTTTCCTGATCTAGAGAATATTTCTCTTTACGTCAATACTCGTAGGAATAGTTAAGTCTACAGTGACACGGAGATTACGCGGCGCACATTCACACTTATCCATTAGGTTGCATATCACACGCTAAATGTAAACAAAGTTACAAATCACATCCTTTAAAAACAGATCATCAACGGAAAACGAAGTATCCATTTATGGTGACGGCTGATCCCATGCTGGGAAGAGCAGCTCTATAGATTAGTGAGGTGCCGCTTCGCGTTGACATTCGAGTAAACGCTGAAAATTATATTCTGTGTCGGCCAAACACGAGATTTAGATACACATCTCTGGCCAGATGGAGAGGTGAGCGTCTTACATATGCATTCTTCTGGAGGCCTACGCATATTTATTATCCGCCTAATTAATATAATTCCAATCACTTGTCCAAGTGCCACTAGACAACGTGCCGCTTCCCTGCGTGGAAAGTTACACAGATCAGATGGAAAGGATAAGTTACCCTTTAGAAGTGCTGCTTCAAACCAAAATGGGGTTGTTGCCCGTTGCATCCAATAAGATGATAGCAGCTGGTTTCCTAGGGCAGCAAGCAAAAGCCTAAGCATACACAACCGGGTAGAAACCTGCGCTCAGGAGTACCATCTGTTGCGTACATCTTATTTTGGGGTTGGTCCTTGACCAAGGCGTATTGCTTTCCGTACCCAACCCAGTACTGTGCTTTCATCTTCTTTAATGCAGGGCTGGACAAGTCCCAGGAGCCAAGCAGCCGATGTTTCTTAAAATTTACAGCTGGCGCCAAACTTTTTAGGTTTCCTCTATTGTCAGTGGAGCTGGCTCCTAAAAAAAAAAAATCCTAATTTCCATATTTATTTCTCCACCCGATGTAATGGTTTGCCTGGAGAGCCACTTCAATGATTCTTCAGCGACAGGTTCACTTTAACCACTTGAAGTCCGCGGTGTTAAACCCCCTTCCTGTCCCGGCCATTTTTCAGTATTCAGCGCTGCGGTATTTTGACTGCCATTTATTCCGTCATGTGACACTGTACTGAAATTAATTTTATACCATTTTTTTTAGGGACAGATAGAGCTTTCTTTTGGTGGTATTTAATCACCTCTGGGGTTTTTATTTTTTACTATATAATGAAAAAAGTACCGAAAAGTTTGAAAAAAGAACCTGTTCTCTCTACGTTATGTTATAAAACAATTATTATTACCCAATTTTTTGGTAAAATATAAAAGACGGGGTCACGTCGGGTAAATAGACACCAAACATGTCAAATGTTAACATGTGTGTGCCTGTGAAAAGGCAAAAAAACAAAACAAACTACAATACCCCAAATTTCCCATAGGCAACACTTTAAAAGCTTTTACTGCTCATCAGTTTAGTGTTAGCAGTGATTGATGGCCCTAAAATGATTGTTCGCACTCCGACATTCGCAGCGATATGTAACATTTGTGGGGCAATTGTCATTTTCACACGTAGGCACACCCAGTTCGTGTTTACGTTTTTTTTGTGCGCGGGGGGGATTTACATAAACTATATATATATATATATTGTCACCACAGACACCCACCAAGCCAGTCCGGGGCCCGCATGGAGGACAGCAGAGCCTGGGCTAGGCAGGGGCGGAGGGGGGCAACACACTCCCCAGCACAGTGCAAGTGATCGGGCAGCTCTATAGCCACATGAACGCTTGTATGCAACGGCTTTCGTTAGCTGTAAACAATATGTACGGTTTCAAAAGCGGGCTGCAGGAAAGGACATTTAAAACCACCCACCCACTGTCAACAGTGTGTTCCCTGGCCATTTAATTACAATCGGCCAGACAGTAAGTGGTTAATGAGCTCATTCAATAAGCTGTGCAGCATGCAAAATGCATTCACTTATAGCAACCAATCAGAATTAGCACCACTGGCACCTGACCTGAACAAGGATTGTAATGGATTGCTGGGTGTGCCAGCTTTATACCGGCGCAAGCCCACAAATCCCGATAGAAGTTGACTTCACCATAAAAGCCAATTGAGGTCTTCGGGTAAAAGTGTAACTCTAGAGCCTTGTTTTCCTGATCTAGAGAATATTTCTCTTTACGTCAATACTCGTAGGAATAGTTAAGTCTACAGTGACACGGAGATTACGCGGCGCACATTCACACTTATCCATTAGGTTGCATATCACACGCTAAATGTAAACAAAGTTACAAATCACATCCTTTAAAAACAGATCATCAACGGAAAACGAAGTATCCATTTATGGTGACGGCTGATCCCATGCTGGGAAGAGCAGCTCTATAGATTAGTGAGGTGCCGCTTCGCGTTGACATTCGAGTAAACGCTGAAAATTATATTCTGTGTCGGCCAAACACGAGATTTAGATACACATCTCTGGCCAGATGGAGAGGTGAGCGTCTTACATATGCATTCTTCTGGAGGCCTACGCATATTTATTATCCACCTAATTAATATAATTCCAGTCACCTGTCCAAGTGCCACTGGACAACGTGCCGCTTCCCTGCGTGGAAATTTACACAGATCAGATGGAAAGCATGAGTTACCCTTTAGAAGTGCTGCTTCAAACCAAAATGGGGTTGTTGCCCGTTGCATCCAATAAGACGGTAGCAGCTGGTTTCCTAGGGCAGCAAGCAAAAGCCTAAGCATACACAACTAACAACTGCCCATCCACATCGTGGATGTGGATGGGCAGGAAATGTGAGGCGGGGAG